CCCAGTGAAGCTATCACATGGACCTGGCAGGGTTTGTTTTATAGTTGAACTTGATGATCTTAAGGGTCTTTTCCAACCAAAACAATTCTATGATTCTATGCAGAGGCTGGTGGGATCTCTGTCACACGGAGTAGGAGGGATCCTCCTCAGCCCTCTTAAGTACATCAGACTGCTCCTTCCCATAGTCCTTGTCTGTACTTTCGCCCACCCAGGCCTGGGAAGAGGCCACCTGTCTGTGTGGGAGTGGGGACAGTATTGCACTAAGGAGGGGAAAGAGGAGTGGGCTAGGATGGGTGCAGTAGGAAATGGTGTGGGGGATAGATGGTGTGTGTGTTCTTTGGGCTGCAAGTTGTCTGTAATGAAGGGAAGGGGTGGGTGATGGAGCAGTGGGGGTCCAGAGTGACCCCAGGGAGTGGGCAGCTCTGTGCCCTCAGCCTTGTGAGCTGCTGCAGGCCTGCAGCTTGGGTGTTAGCAAACAGCTGTTGTGCACAAGAGCAAGGTACGGGTGCAAGCAGACACCAGGCTTCAAAAGAAGCAGTATTTCACACTCTTGAGTCTGTCTGTGTATAAATAAAGGGGATTTTAAAATGCTACTTAAATGCAAGAGGAGGCCAAGTTAAATTCTGAAGTTAATTGTAAGACTATGCTTTATGTGTCTATAATTATACCTTATCAGTCTGGGTTGATCAATCAAGAGGGTTTTTAGTGATTCTTCCTTACTGGAGTAACACCACACTGGCTCTAGCCAACTGAAAGAGCAGTTTCAAACCCCTGAAATGTGGCTTTCTTTTGAAAAATCAAGGAGGACAATAAATCACTTCTATTTTGAAACATGGAAAAAAAAAAAAGCTTAGTAGATTAGCAAAGGAAGAAACAAGGGAAAATTGGTAATGTTGAGACCAGCCTACTGTATAAGTAAGATTGTCTTACTATACAAATTCTGGCTTAGGTATTAGAGCATCTTTGAATCTACTGATCTCTTCTGAACCTTTGCATAAACTGTCTTCTGCTATTCACAGGGCTTCATCTTTGAGGTTTCACTCAAAGCTTTTACTTTGAGGTTTTGGCTTTTCTACTTCTATAGGAGAAAAAAATTTTAGGAGCTATTTCT